GGGCGTGTGACGGACTGCAGACTACCTAGTAAAGGACAGCTAACAAGTACTGCCAAATTTTACCCTTCCGACCACTTCGGGCAGTCCAGATAAACGACAAAACTTATAGGCATGAAGACTTCACTGCACGAGACCTCTTAGTTCTTCACCCACCCTTCCCAAATGCAAAAAAAAGAAATTTATGCAATTCGCATCCTCAAAATCCCAATTATCCAGTTCATCGGTTTTTCCTTTTCTCCATCTGACAGTCATAATGAGTTCAACTTTATGGCTTTTCAAGCACACTAGCTTTGATCTTCAATTTATCCACCGACATGGAACTCCTCGGCAGAGAGAGAGACGGTGATTCATAGACAGTTTAGACAATTCACCGCCCTTTATTCACACGATAAACTCAACAAAAATGTTTTACAGTATTTAGACATTTTACAAGGGGATGATGTCAAAAAAATTCGATAGCACGGCAAACTTCGGTACCGTTTAAAGGGATCTATGACATCGTTGATGGCCTTCAAAAATCAATTTCACATGTAGAACTGTTTAGAAGTGATTCCAAGGTGGCAACAAAATCTGCTTTGAATCGAAAAAAAAATGAGTTGCATAATACGCGAGGACGGCAGGTTTAGTGTTTTTGGCGCATTACACCTGGCGCAATATCTGCTTTTATGCCTAGGTGATTGAAAAATAATACCTCCTCTGGCTGAAGTCCAAGCGAGAGAGAGAGAGAGCAAGAGAGAAGGACTGAATATAAGGGTGTTTCTCGATGTTTCATGTTTGACGTGTTGGCATAAAGGAGTGAGAGGAGCCTGGGTGAAGTCTTCTGGAGGTTTGATAAGGAAAGCCAAAGGAGTCGATAGATAATCGGTCACTTAGGGACACATAGTATATACATAATGGCAGTAGTTAACTTTTAAACATCTAAAAAAACCCTTTACTCTGCAAAATGGAGAGGAAAATGAAATTTGGCTCGAGACATCCTAATAAAAAGTCGCGCAAATTGATTGGTTCAGAGTAAGCCAATCAATAATCGACATCGTAAAGGCAGGAGCAGTCATGGCAAAAATCGATTGGTTGATTAAGCACTTTGGCAATAGCAAAGTAGGTGATCCTCCGTTTAATGAAAATGTTAAAACAATAGTGCACCAAGACTTTGGTGGAGGTATGAAGGCACACACTCAAACGCCAATCAGATTAATGGGTTAGCATCAGAGGTTAGCCTCTTAAAAGATGGCTGGCAGAGTACCTGTCAAATTCACCCGCTGAAGGTGGTTTCAGAAACAACGCACTTGTGAAGCGGATAGGCGTAAAAAATTGCAAGTCCTTGACCCCTTACTCCTAGCAATAAAAGGTTGCATTAAAAGAAGTGGCTAATAAAAGAGTTGGCATGACTCCTCTCGGCTTGTTACTTCTGCTGATCTGCAGCTCGAGAGCGTGGACTTTGGAAGAGGTGAAAAGACAGGGCGATCAACTGCTACTTAGTTACAATACTGGGACATTTGATGTTGGCTTTAATGCCGGAATGGCATGTTTTGTGGTCTATGGCATTCTGCTGACTGCTGTTACCATGTTTGCAATTGTCATCAAACATCTCATTCAGACGGGTGAGGTTGCTCCTCGAAGGAAGCGATGAGGTGTGAGTTATTGAATGGCTGTGGGACTTATAGCACAGTAATTGTAATATTTTACTATATTTTGGAGCAAATGACCAGAAGTTAATTTATTTAACCGCATTTTAATGATATGCAAAGCATTGTGCCCTTCGCCCCTTCAAACAAGTCGATTAACCAACAGAAGTCCAATTTTTGCGTTTCGAACTATCTCAAGGGAAAATGGGGGGTAAACGTTTTTTTTTTCGTTTGTTTTTACTGCCTTACACAAGAAATTGTTTGACTTCCCCAGGATTTTTACTCATAGTCAGGTCTTTTTCCCATGTCATCATTCCAGCTTAGCACAACATTAAACTTGCCAGCTATGCGTCAATGTTATGGTCAAATTCGAGCTCATTTTTATGACTACATTCCCCTTTTAAACTCACTACCATCTAAAAATTGGTTGACAGCGTGGGATTATGAGTTTCATTTGTCCAGCATTTGGAAATCGTTTAATTAAATCCTTGCTATTAAATGCCCAAACGAACACCCTTGTTTAAGCCAAGACTCGTCAAAAGTAAATGAATTATCGTACGACACATAACTAGCGCTTATTTTTGACACACTGTTTTGGGCCTAGACAAAGC